GAAGTGGTACGTATGCTCACACCGTGTAAGACAGAGATCTCTGTGCATGCCACTGTTTCGTATTAAATAGGAATTTGGTAAATTGAGTGGATTACTGGGATTTCATTAAAAATTAAATGTACAATTATTTAGATGAATTTTTCACATATGCTTGTGGGCAAACAATTTTTGATTAGTTGTTGACATATAGTACACACAGTGTGTGTGTGTGTGCGTGTGCACATGTATATTTACATGCACGCTATATAAATAAAATACAGACAGTAACGTAGTGTTAGGGAAGTCCACTGGTAGTCATTAATTTGACAAATCTTATATGGAAAGAATGATCTTCCTCAGACTGAAAAATTGTTTTCACTGCATCACATTAAGACTTATTTATCCAATGAGCAGTATAAGAGCTCAAGACCAAGCACGGCTCATCCCAGCTCTCTGCTCGTTTTATCGAACTCCTTGAAGAAGTTTCTCTTCCAAGCGATGCTGTGGAAGGGAAGCCGTGCAATGCATTTTTCAGCAGTGCCTGTCACTGGCCTGGGGTTGTGGGATTTACATCAGTGGAAGGAACTTTCTCAGTTTGATTTTAATTAGAAATCAGGTGGTAAAGCTGGGGAAAAGATTTGTAAAGATCTGAAGTGTCTGAAGAGGAGCGGCTTGAATAACACTGTATTAGTCATGAGGCAAGGAAGGAAGAATGTTGTCATGATATGAAAGTAACGTTGTTCAGTAAACGAAGATGTGTGAAGCACTTGCTAAACTAAATTAGTTCCGAGGTTTGGTGCACATTTGTGTAATTCTGTTCATTGAAGCTTTGAACAATTGTGAAGGAAAAAACAAACACATCTATTAAGAAAAAAAATGTTTGAATTGCTTTCTGGTGGTGTTTTTCTGCAACGGTTCAGCTGCTATTTTTCATATTTCAGACAGAATAATTAATCGGCACAAATAAATATAGATAAAACGGTGTAATCCTACTCTGAATTTTATTTTGTGGTGCCGATCTAAAGTCGATTTTGCTTTCCATCACACAAACAGAAATTGTAGAGAAGTTGTACAACCCCGTGTCTCCTAAATTTTCTACAGAGGCTGTTCCTCAATAGATGACCTTTTTCTAATGCATGGATTCAGTGTGCAGAAAGTTTAAATCTTGTGGTTTGAGTGTCCCCTGTAGAATATCATGGAATAAGTGTAGCCATGTACTTTTTATTGTATTATCTTGTGATTAATTTTTCTAAGAGTTGGTCCTTCCACCTCTGCGTGGGGAGGGGGTCACTGCACTCTCAGGTCATGTTCTCAATTCCTTTAATGCACCTCTGACATTTACCCATCTATCCAGGATCTTTACCTTTGTGCCATTATACTTGTTGCTGTCTTACTCAGTTAAGAAGTACAAATAGCCCCAGCATTGCCAGCTGCAGTCCCAGGCTGGATCATTACTCCAGATTTGAGGTTAATCAACTGCAAATTCCATTAGCTTCATACAGAGTGAAAATAAAGAACAGACGGTCTCACATGTGAGCCAGAAGTCAGGTGCAGCACAATACGGCCAGCCTTCAGGTAGAGGGATTTTTTTCCCTTCAGCTAACATCTCTGAGATAAGACCAAAGGATCAGATCAAAAAAGATTTTCATGAAAGTTTTATAGACTCTCATCCTTTTTTTTTTTTTTTCTTTTCCCTTTTTCACTCCACTTCCAATTGCAAATGTCAGTTCTTCGTTTGATTTTGGTGGGGTTTTTACTCCTTTTCCTCCTGAAAACTATGGAAAGTCATTGCGAAGAGTTATATTCTCAGCTGTCTTATGTTCTTTACCTACTTGTTGATTGCAATTTGCTTTGTTACTCAAGGAAGTGCTGTGTGAAGTCTGGGGTGGGATATGGGGGCAGTTTGCTGTCGCAGACCCATTACTAAGATCCCACACTTGCAAATGCTGACATACACATGGACCTTGTGAGCTCTGCCATTGATTTCAATAGGACTCACAATATCAAAGCTAGACACACAGGAGAGCAGTAGCAGGAACCAGGCCTAGACGCTTCCCTGCTGCTCTTATTCTGTGCACTGTCTCCCCCCCACCCCTCAGATAGTGTCTTTGCTTGTCATTGGTTGTTTTCTCATGAGTCCATTTAAAATCTCTTTAATATGCCTCTTCTTTTTGCACATACTACAAGCAGTCAATATTTATAGAATATTTTTTTTGGTGATCTGCAGAATGGCTCTGATATATCTCAATTCTCTAAAGCAAAAGCTTTCCTGTCAAATGGAAGGAACTGTAGGAGAGTCAGGTCTGTGGCCAGAAGTTGAGATCCTGCTGCACACAGAGTACACTGCACCTTCCAGACTGAATTCTAAAAATTTACATTAGCACGGTGTTTGCCAAACGTGGATTTTGTGTGCTGTGGCTTTTGCCTTTTCTTTACATCTTTCTCTCTTCACCCAGTTTTGGTGGGGAGGGGAGGTGCCTGTGTGTATGTGTGTGTATCTCTCCCTATATACATATGTTAGATTATCACTGGCATGCCATTACAAAAGGTTAGGGAAAATATTGCTGCCAACAGAACTAAAGATTAAATAATCCAATCTCTGGGAACTGTAAACTAACAATCACTATCACAAATGGGCCCTTTCTAATCATAGTTTGTGGTGGAATGAAAGATGCAATTGTCTGGAATTGATGAATATGGGATCCATGCTGGCTTCAGGGTCAAAGGTGACTTCATGCAAAGGTCCCTTTCTCTCTGGCACTGCTTCCTTTGTATAGCATAGCTTGGCAGCTATCTCTTTGCACTTCGGCTACCTGCCAATGCAGCTGGTACTGTGCAACTGTCTGGTACAGACTACAAAGCATCACTCAGCAACCAGCAGCTCCGCATGGGGCCCCTTTTCTAGGATGACAAAGAAAGATGGGCTATACATTCTGCCATCTATGCCCATTAAAAAGACTCTTAAATTGCATTGCTACAAGTTATTGTTAATTATGTAGTAGTCACTGGATCGGTATGATCCTTTTAGGGGTTGATAATCTTTACTGTATGCTGGCAGTATAAGTAATCAAGAGGGAAAAATCAGTATTTTGTTGTGTAAAAAGTAAGTACTAATGTGGTAAGTTGCTCATGCATAGCCATATGAATGAAACCTTCATTTGGATTGTGTACGCCGCAGGTTTGTGGCATATGCAGGAAAAAAACTGATTGAACTAGACAAATTACTTGTGAAGTTGTGTCCTTATAGTTTCAATATTCATGTTACAGTTAACTTGGGAAGTGTTTTTGTTGGTAAGCATTTATCCTGAAAGCTTGCTGGTTGTTAAAATGTGCCTTGAGCTGCAACTGAGAAGGAAGAAAACAAAGTTCTGGCTACATTAAAATAAACAATTTCAGTTTAGAAATCATGAAACTAACGGTGTTTACATGATGGGATTCTGATAATGAAAGTGGCATCACTGGCAGACTGATGGGACACTGATTATCTTGAATATTTTTTTTTCCCGCGGTAATGCATTTTCTTCCTGTTATTAAGAAAGAGTTTGTAGAGGGTTCAACAAAAGGAAAATCTTTGTTCCTCCTAAAACTGAGGACCTGGTTGTCTCCTGAGGAATGGCCAAGCTACTTCTGTTCTTCAGTTCGGGTGTGATGAATTGCATTGCAACTAAATCTGCAGGCCTGAGTCCAGTGGATATTTTCCAACTCTTGTAAATCCATCCGTGTTAACATAAAACTGGAATAGCTGATCTGGGGCAAGTGAGATTGGATTCACCTTCAGTAAGATGTATAGATGATTTACTAGATAGATCCAAATTACATCAACTTAAATATTTTGGGCCAAATGCTTGGCTCCTGTCAACTGGCATAACTCCACTGAAGTTAATGGAGATGTACCAGTTTACCTCTCCTGAATTTTCAGGGACTTGTGTGTCCCAAGATTTCAAGGAAAATTCTGTAAAGAAAATGGTGGGACTTGTTTACTAATGACTGGGTTTTTTACCCTTTTCTTTTATCCTGCTTTCTCTGCACTATTTATGATCTTGCACTTGCCTCCTGTAGAGCTGGCAGGCGTCCTAAGACATACACCAAATTCTGGGAAGGAAACACCATTTCTGTATAGTACCACTGTGAGAACTAGGCTGTTGAACCACTTTTATTTCCTCTTTTGTTCAAATTACACAAAAATCTGAGAGACACAGGATACAACAGGAGGAGACAAGAACCTTCAGTCTTCGGTTTCTCTCTTTCCTCCTTGCGTCTAATATTCCTTTCCTTGCCTTGTTCCGATATTGGCTATTTGAAATAGTTATATATAATTTAACATTATACAAAAGTATTGTCATATCAAACATAGTGAAATGGATTCCAAAAACACCATCTGGTATTTGGGAATGCACTGTGAGTTGGGAACGTGAGAAGAGATATTCTTTGCCACTTTGCTTGGGACCCAGCCATTAGCAGTGTAATTGCCAAGAAAAGGTGACAGGCTTCAGGCTTAATGCAAGTGGGTTGTTTTTTTTTTTTTTTCCTCTCTCTTCCCCAGCCTGTTAACTCTATGAGTCCTAAACTAAATGCAAAAGGCACTGTAAGGGCAATGCAACGGCAAAAAAACAATAGGCTCCCTTAAATTAAAAGGCAGGGCAGAAAATGAAAACAGTCACTGAGCTCCTATAAGAAGACTAGAATAAGTGAAAGCAAAATAAGCTTGTGGAGAGGAGGAAAGAAAATAAGACATGTATGCTTTAAAGCTGCAGTGTGCTACACAGAATTGTTCTCTTAAGTAATGGATTTGTAATGATTAGAGTTTCCCAAGCTTTATCCAAAAGCTCATTTAAAAACCATCATTAGTCTCCTCTAATCCACCCAAAATTGCAAAACGCATATTGTGAAGGTCATCCATGACCACTCTAAACCTGGTTTATTTGATGTTATCTCACTTCTTCCTCCGTATCTCCTTCTATCCCTTTAAGGATGGGGAAAGGAAAAAAAAAAAAAAAAAAAAAAAAGAGGGTTTAATAAATTAAAATCTCAGCTTGATTTCTGTGGGAATATTATTCTGATGTGTAAGAATCCAAAGGGCATATATAGTACAGTTTATATAATTTCATGTTACTAGCCTGTATGCTACCATTGGCAGGTGTAAATCTTACAAGTTTTGCCAATATTTCTCACCTGAGAACCAGATCAAACATGAGGGAAGTAAAAAATCAGAGATATTTGAACAAGGATCAAAGTCTCTTTATTACATGCAGGAAGGCAAATAAACTTTGCAGCAGAGGACGAAAACAAGTGAATGACACAGAAAGGTTTTAATCTTTATTGATTTCCATCTAACACTTGAAATACAGCCTTATATTAATTCTGAACTTAAAAAAAGGCCACATTGATTTGTTTCGGTGTGTCAGAAACTGTGATGCTACAATAGATCTGCTATTAAATTACACAAAATAAAATGATTTCTGGTGGGTGTATCTAATGCTTGCCAAATTAGATGAAATGAAAGCTAACCCTCTTAGTCTAGCTGTTGTTTTTAAATATTTATGTCTTTAACAGACATTTGTGTGTGCCATGAGGGGGACTAGAAACTCCTTTGCTATCAGTCAGTTTATGTAGACATGCAAAATTCTTACAATCTCAGTACCAGACTCGCACAAAAGCGTTCGTCACCGCAAGTTCTTTCAATTTATTTGAAATAAGCTTGCCGATTCACCACACTGCCGTTTTGGCTCCCGTTACTTATTTATTTACTGCGATTGCATTTCGCTGCAAATGAGTTCTGTATGCAAAATTCCGTCTCCAAGGTGTAGCGCAGATTTTCAGCAAGGAGTTCAACCCTTCAGTGCAGAAAAGGTGGTGGCAGTCCTATGGGTGCCAGATTGCTTGAGGGACTGAGAGAGAAGCTGCGAGCCCAGAGCTTGCCCTCTCTGCCGGCGACCAGCCGTCGTGAAACTTTGCCCTGAAACAAACACCGTAGAGCCGAGCCTAACCATGCATCCGAGTGGGAAAATAAGTCAAACATCACAAAAGGATCTTTCTATTCTTGGCGAAAGCTTGGGATTGGGGCGCGATTTTACCCCAGCCCTGCTCGACCTGACCTTCAGTGCTGTTTGCTTTCTAAAAGGCAGCGATGGTCTCTGATATGTCTCTCATTTAGTACCAGATTTCTTGCTTTGAAGTGTGTCGATCAAGGCAGTCCCCGATGCACTTAGTGTCCCAAACCCTCCTGACTAATAACTCAACCTAGGCAGCTCAGAAGACAGATAAAGTTCTGATTTCTATCTTTACAAAAACAAACACTCTTTTCAGGCAAAATCCCTCTCCAACAGAGAGTGTTGTATTCTGAGCCTTGTTCAGTACCTGCTGCTCCAACGGCGCTGGCTTTGGAAGCGCCGCTCTGCTTGGGATGGGCGGCGAGGCACGCACCCGACACGTAGAAGCACGGAAGTTCTGTGTGTGCAGAAACCGAGGCCACACTATCAGTTCAGTGACAGAGGGACAGACCACACGTGGGATTCCTGGTTCCCACTCAAAGAATCGAGAAACACAAACAAAACTGTTTTGCAATTTAATTTCTGAAGGGGCATATTCTCCGCTGAAAACTTCTATGCGGGAGATGAAGACCTTCAGTAAAAATGAAATGTGATACTTTTTGGCATTACAGTTTCTCCTGTAACAGAAATTGCGGATTCTCTCCTTTTGACTATGCTCTTTTTTTGCCCTTTTCCCATTCAATAATCTAATATTTATAGAATGTATATTTCATTTAATAGTTTTAATCAACAACTACGCTAACAAATAATCTGCATCTTCACTCAGTTAATAGCACAAAAGTGCATTTTAAGCCTCTGTGGAGCAGCCGCAGCCTCTGTGAACCAAAACCTGCTGTATGATTAACAGCAGCAATACTTTCATCCAGCACAATTCATTCCCCGTCCGTCCCCAGCGCACAGCGGGGGCACCTCGGGGACACCCTGGGTGTGTGAAAGCCAGAGCTTCCCGTGCCCAGCTCCTTCCCCGGGGCCCTGCCGCCATCAGCCAGGGATCTGGGTCCGGGCACACGGGTGCTTTCTTGGGTGGTAAACTGCCAACTCCAGCAGCTTATAGCTTTTTATCACCTTAGAGGAATGTGCCACCCACAGCAGTGCGGAATTATTAGATCTTTCTCATCGTTTTTTTTCCTTCTACATAGAGGGTTTTGCCTGTTTTTCCCTTCCCAGCCTATGCCAGGCTGGGGTTTTGTTTTGCTCTCCGGTGACATGATGACAAACTGCAAATGAATAATCAGAAGTACTTAGAATTAAAATGGCAAAAATATTATTAGTTGCTGCCCCCCCACCCCTACTCCCGCACCACTCTCCCGTTTTCCCCTCCCTCCTCTTTTGACAGGAGGCAGAAAATGCAGATGCCAAGGCAGCGGAAGATATTTTTAAGCAGGAGCATCTGGCTCCTTGGCAGACTCCACAGGCAGTTGGTTTGGTTGTTTTGGAGTTGCCTCTGGGTCTGTCACATGTTTTGGCATCTGACTGATTGTCTGGGCTGCCTCCTCTTATTGGACATATTTTTTCTTTGACTCACCTTTGATTCTGAATTGTCTCTTTATTTTCGTTTGCCAGTGAATGGCAACTTCAGCTGATCCTGGGCTTGTTTATATAGAAATAGTCCCTGTCACTCCCTGGCTGTAGCTCACGGGAGCCTCCTCCCTGCCCAGTCTGTGCTTCCAAAGGTGCTTGCTGTGAACACTGCTTCCTCGGGATTCATGTCAGGCTCCGAGCACTCCCTGGGAAGGAAGCTATTCCAAGGAAGAGAATTTTCCTGCATCCAAATATACAGCCAAAAGCACAGAGACATTGTTCCTGATACATGCTCTATCTGTATATGTTTTAAAAAAAAAAATTAAAAATTATTATATTGAGGGGAGGGTTTGTCTTAAAACAGTGTAGTTTTTTTCATAGATTTTGTGCAGAGTATGAAAAACTTCTTGAAATGACAGGTCTGTTCCCCCCGCTGTTTGACAAAAAGTTAGATGCTTAGCAGTATTTGTATCTCTGTTTTCTTAGCACGGTAAATGTTGAGCAGAGCTAGTTTTTCGCTCAAAAAAACCTTTTTCCCCCAAACATCATGACGAGGCAGCCTGGAAGCCTGTCCCTGCGACCTGCCCCAGCCTGCGGAGCCGACCCAGGGATTTTACGACTGCCAGGGCAGCGAGGCTGGCAGAAACAGGTGGGCTCACAGCAGGGAGCAGCCACGAAAGCCCCACCACAAGTTCTGCTGGGATTTTTTTTAGGTGGCTAAACTAAATCTAATTAAACCAGAGCATGTTTAAATGAGCTTCATTTAATGTGCACTTTGTATAGCTCCTCTATTAATAACAGCAGCTCTTGGTTTTTATTATTAGCGCTATCATTTTTCTGTCTTTCCTGATATTCCTGGAGACTGAATGAATTGTTTATCAGAGGGGTTGGAGTTGGGTTTATATTTCTAAAATGCTGTTTTGGAACTGTCCTGTAAACTAGTTCTTGCTGTGCTCAGGAGGCACTGCGGAGATTCAGAGATGAGATGTAAATCTGTGCTTTCAAGCTGAAAGACTATGTTCCGTAGAGAAAGTGTTTTTCTTTTAAGGAGAAGACAAATAGTAAGGAAAAAAATGCTAGTTTTTAAATACATTTGTATTTTTTGAAGGTAACTTTGTAAAAAAAGTTTTTCACTGGATCTGACGTGAAAAAGGCGTCATGTAACTTATATGTTGGTTGGGATTTTTTCTTAATTACACCAAATCAGATTAAACTCATCTGGGAAAAGGGTAGGGAAAAGCATAACATGGCATTTTAAGACAAAAGCTCTCACTATGTGTTTTTCATTGGCAGTTGAAGTTTTGCCCAAAATGGAAAACTTCTCTCTCACTGACCTATCATTTTTGCTTCAGTCAGGTACATGTTTGGAAGCCCTACGTATATTATCTCTGTAAATAGTAAGGATGTCAGAGGCTAGGGAATTGGGACATATGAAATAAAGCTATTCATTCCCAGGGCAGGACATTTGGGGCAGCTAGGCCACCCTCTTGTCTCTTCTTCCTACCTGTATGCAGCAGGGAACTGCAGAGTAGCTCCACAATTAGTCTCCAGGTATTTGGAGTTCACAAACACAGAAAAAGATGACTAGAAAGATTTTAAAACGTGAGAGAAACCACATTTGCAGTTACTTTTCTTGTGTGTGGAAACGAAAATTTATTTTCAAACTGATTTTAATTCCTAAACCAGTGACTAAAGGACCAGGCAGAAAAAACCCCACGTGTGTGAACACACACTCACATAGGCACACCTTATGTAAAACTAATTTTACCACCTGATCCTGAGTTTTAACATGACTTATTCCAGGAAAAGCCCTGGACCCCAGATCCGTGCAAGAACATTAGTAAACATTTGTACTGAACACCGTATCGCATACAAATTAAAGTGAGTTTCCAGCTCTCGTGTTTGCAGAAGAAAGCCTGTGAGTACAGTAAATGCCTGAGTTCTCAAATCTTAAAAAATAAAATTACAGTAAAACTAGCAAAACTCCCAATCTACACTGTGTTTTTAAAGTCATCTTGGTATTCTAGGGAATGTGCATCATAAATTTTGAATAGATGGGATTAGCAATATCATGATGGGGAATCCCAAAGGACCTATCTCCAACAAGGAAGGAATCTTGTAAAAGACATTCACAATAAATCCTTTCAGAGGCCTTGGCACTTGGATGTAACTCCATAGACTCCCTGTTAGTTTTTCCTATGAGGGAAAAAAAAAAACCCAAACCAACTAGAACAGGTCCTTTTGGGCTTTTGATTCTGTGAGTTGGTTTTGTGATCCGAAAGCACCATATGGGTGCTTTCACCTTTGTTTTTCAGCACCTGCAGCATTTGGCAGATACACGGCAAAGCAGAAGCAGCGGCACAAAATACAGCATTACTGGGAGAGGGAGATGCGAGTCTGAACTATCTGTCCTCTTGGGGCAAGCAAATAGCAGAAAGCAGCTACAGTGCTGTGCCAAACTAGTCCTGGGGGACGATGTGGTTACAATAAGTAATTTTTAGAATAGCCTTGTTCATGGTACTCTTAAGTCTGTGCAGCCTCATCCAACAGGAGACTTGGATTTTGAGGGCACAGTTCTAGGAGTCCAAGATTGAAATCTGTGTACAAGAGTTACAGTCTTCAGACATACTGCAGTTAAAGTCCTGCCTGTGAACAGTTAGTAGAATAATAGGTAAGTCTTTAGGAGCATAGCAATACTCTTTAAAATCCCTTGGATCCTTTAATACTGAGGACAGGACGCAGTGGCTGCAGCTGGACAGACATGCTTCTCAAGGAAAGAGAAACACTTTTAGCATTTCTGACTTGGTCTCTTGGCTTCTAGTGAGTCAAGTCAACACATATTTCACATCAAGGTAACTGTATTTCTCTTCTTATTGTTAAAAAAAAAAAAAAAAAAATCCTTGGTCAAAATCAAGATGTTCCAACCAATCCTTACCTATCTAGTTGTCAGTGTTGCATTTTTAGACTTCAGGAACCATTCAGAAGGGTCTGTCTGTCTTGCTGTGTCCTTTTCTGTGGTCTGTTTTACAGCAACAATGGGCTTTGGGTCTCTATGAGACTGAATGAAGGAAGACTTCAAAATACATTGGGAAAAATAATAAAGTGAGCTGCTTTTGTTTGGCAGGGAAGAGCAGTCTTCAGTTTACCAATAGACAAAAAGGGGTTAATAGATTTGTATGATATTGCACATCAGCCTGTACAAAGCTAAGACTCAATCCATCACCACATCAACCCTTTTGTAAACTCTTAAGCATCTGCAAACACGTTGTAAAAGATGAATGACGGTCTTGACTTCTTACTTTGCCAAGATCCTTCGTGTCATGAACTTCAGTGATTTGAGAATGGTGGTTGCTCTGTCTTTGTAGCTGAACTAGGAAACAGATTCATCTGGTTTCTCTCAACTCAAATGAGTAGCAAGGGAAAATATAAACTGTTTAGAAATAATTTCTTATCAGGACGCAAAGAGCTGGTGAAGGTCAGAACTAGGACTGAACATTATCTCATAAATCCCCTGGAAGCTACAGCCAGTGATGTTGGTATCACCAACAGGTTCTGAGCATCTTGATACCCTTTGGGAGTGCAGGGAGTGAGGTGAAAATCAGCAACTAAGGAGTCTGAATTCTGTAAACCTTTTTTTCCACTTCAAATTGAAAGGTGCTGCTGTTCCCTATCAGACTTTCCAAAATAAGGACATGGCTTGGCCGTAGTTGAGATGGATTTAGTCTCCCAGAAAAGTTTTCTCTGCTGCCATCTGACACAGGTGGAGCTAGTGCCAACGTAGTGAGCGCAAATTACAGCCAACGTGATGCGGAATATCTTGTGCACGGACCTATGTAGCTGTGTAATTGCTTGGCATGTCTTTGGCCCTTCACTTGTCCCAAGTGATAGGTGTGTGAATGGGTTTATAGGAATAATAATTCTCAAACTTACAGCCAACTCTTTTCCTCCCTCCATTACCCTGCTGGAAAAGATTTCACAGCCGTTTGTGTTCATTGCAGAAGCCCGCAAAAGAGGTGAAGTTAATCAGAACTTTGGCTGTCACTCCGCTCCTTGCAGAGGTTTTTTGAAGATGTGTTTTAGCATTCAGAGCAACAGAGCTTGCCTCACATTTTAAATGAAGTAAGATAAGAGTTGACCTGTGACAGAGAGAAAAATAACGGCTTAAGATCTGGATCATCTGGAAGCTAAACTGATCCACAGAAACAAATCCATGGACAAAACAAAACCAACCAACCAAACAAACAAAAAAAAACAAACAAACCAAAACCCCAGAAGAAAATTGAAATCACATATGAACCAGGGATAATTCTCCTCCCACCTCTCAAGGTTCACACAGAAACGTGTGAAATTGAAAGGGCAAACCGTGGTATAAATTTCGCTCACCTGTTGTGGCGCTGAGATCAGTGATATGCTGAGGTTATGGAAATGAATCCTGGGGATTCATTGCAGAGGGTAGCAAGGAATATCAGGTGCTTTGTGCATGAAGTTTAAATGAGTGTTTAACTATAACTCTGGAACACAAAAGGAAGTTTAACTGTAAAATGTGAGGAGTATGCTCTCCTGATGTACCACACATTCACTTCCAGAGCATCAATCGCTTTTTCTCTACCTCTTTCATGAAACAGATCATATTTTCCTTTCCCACTCAGTCTTTTGATAAGGGATTTGTGTCTCAGCATCCTTCCCCAAGTACCAGGAGTCCCTCATTACAAGAGAAGGTCACTGTTCTCCCTTTGCAGTCACTCTGGGACAAGTTTCTCTCCTTTCATAATGATTCAAGCAAGATGGAGTCAGAGGGTCAAGCGAGCTCTGCAAGCCTAAATGCTGCTCTGTGGATTTGGGTTTGTGGGTTTGTGTCTAATCTATGAACTTTACATCACTTAAGTGTAGATTCTCCCTGTGGTTTAGTACAAGCAGCCAAAGGTTGAATTCATACTGTGTTCTTACAGGTGAAACTTCGCCGACTTGTGCCAAGCAATATATTCTGCGTGTTCCCAGTTTACATATTAAATCTATGGGGTAGAAGTGGGCAAAAAGTAGGAAATCTCCTATTACTTATGTACAGTGAGAAATAACATTCGGTGGGTGGATACAGTTTCTTAAGGAAATGAGCTGTCTCTCCTTTGAAGGAACATTTAAATAGAAGGGAATAGTTTAAAACATAAACTGAAGTTAAAAAAAATTAACGTCCCTCTTTATTCCAGAAAATATCTGTGATATTCCCCAGATAGGACATGAATATGTTATCATTGAGTGAAAATCATTTGCACACATAGA